TGAAACTTACAGGATGAAACCCTTTGCGGCAATTTTCTTCGTGATATCCTGCAGAAGGCTAAAAGTTCAGTAGAATGACCATAATTCGTGAAGAAAAGTTTAATGATACAAACTCTTTCATGATTCTCAGCTACCCTATGAGCTCAAACAGATATTATCAGTTGAATGGATTTCCTCGTTATGTTTAATTAATTTGTTGATAAGATTAACATAAGAATTTTGATAATAATTTTAAATTGTTCACTACAATTTTTATTTCTTAATAAACTAGATTTCATATACTGTAAGTACATTGACTACTATCAATGTACATAAAAAATTGGAACATAAGTTTATTATTATACGAAATTTTTCAAATAAAAGATTCATCATGATATCAATTAAATTCAATAACAAAAAATTTAAAAAAAAATATAATAGTTTAAAATCATATCAATATTGAAAACAAAAATAAGGGAATGAAATAATGAAGACAATATAATTCAACTTATCACCATTATAATTATTTGAGCGAGATTGAAATAAATTATTTCTATCGAATTTTTTTATGTATAATTTTTCCATGGTTGTTATTTAGGTGTAATATAAATTCTTGTTTTACCATGACGACATTGAACAACACCACGATATGCTGTTCGAGGTACATTACTCTAGAATAGAAATATATCATTTAAGAAAATATTCATAATAAAAAAAATTAAATGAACTTGGCGCGATTAAAATTTTATTATTTTTATTTCTGTGTCGTCCATTTTTATCTGATGTCGTCATCATCATCACGATTGAATAGTATTTCGTTTTCTTCAAAACATTCAATTATTTCATTAAGTAATTTCGATACAATATCATCTCATAACAATAAGCAATTCGTTTCTTATAATAATAATAATAATAATAAAATTTTTTACAATGAAAAACAACCACCAAATATGACAACATCAGACATAAAATTTGATCGAACTATTGATCAAGCTATTGATTATTTCGAACAAATTCTTACACAATGTGTTACACCATCAAATACATCACTTATCAAAGATAATGAACAACAAGATCGTAAAAATGATATAAAATTAAAAATTGAAACTAAAAAACGTGATTGTGAAGAATTTTTAAATTCATTAAATAAAACAACAAACTTTAAAATGAAACAACGTAATCAAAAAATTGATTGTCGTAAATGGTGTGACGAACAAAATCAACGAATTACAAAATCTTATAATTTAATCGATGATAATAATAATAGAAAATATCGTTCAAAAAATCGAAATATCTATGGATCAATATTCTATTGTCGCAAAGCTCTTTTACAAAAATCTGATGGAATCACTTATATTTGTATTCGAAAACGATTTAATTAAATATTTATTTAATCATACCTTAAAATCATTCATAATTTCAAGTGTATTTGCAATAGCAACGAATTCCTTTTTATTACTATAACGTAATTGTGCACATTTCGTATCATTATTCATTTCATTTAAATCAGATAATGTTATCACAGGACAAGTATCAATACGAGCTTGAAATTCTCTATCATATCGATCCTAGGGAAAAAAAAGTTGTTTTTCTTATCTATTTAACAATAAAAACATAATTATTTCATTTACTTTGACAAGATAACTAAGATCAATAGTTTTCCAATCAATAGGATCAATATTTTTGATTATTTTTCTTAAATAATGATCATAAAATTGACCTCTAGAAATTGATAGAATGAAAAATGAAACAAATTTAATAAATATACATACCCACTAACACCTTTTTTACCTTCTGGTGATATACCTGTACGAGAAACTTCTGGTCGAATACATGCGCGATCACGACGTTGTTCCGGTTTTCTCATCCAATCATCCCAGAAACTATTCGTTATAGAAAAAAGAAAATTAACTTTTTTTTTCTTAAAATCTTTTATTAAAGGAAGAGAATGTATAAAAAGTCAAATCGGCACATTACTATTTTTCTTGACCAACTCCATTCAATCACATATTAATAGAAACATTACGTTGAGACCAATATTTTAATACTAGTTTCATGAGATTTTAGTCGAATTTCGAAACCTAAAAGCTATCGAGAAAGTATCGCATTTTCAGTCATTAGATTAATATTCTATTCTATGATGTTTATAGGTCTTTCATGATGCTTCGAGTCCATATATAAATCAACAATCGATTGCTTACCTTAACAAGATATAGGTTAGATCTACTAGTAGACACTATTGGTATATTTACTGTATATATCAATGACTCTTATCTTTCAATAAATCCTATATTTTCTAAAGTCAAATAAATCTAACTATCGAAAAAATTTTCTTATCACACTCTTCTCCAGGGGCAGTTTTGTGTCTTTTAAAATCAGTGTTTAAAAGATTTTAATCAAAAAAAGAGTTCAATTTGAGTCAAAACTAATATGATATTCCGAATCAATTTAAACAAGTGAATTAGTCTATATGTGATTTAAAGAACTGCTAGAATTTTTTTTTTCGTCGAAAAATTCACTTCTGGTCCTTCTTAGGGACTAGACGAAAAATGAACTCTTTACTTTGTTGATAGCTTTTAGGTTTCAAAATTCAATCAAAACCTCATGAAACTATTACCAAAATGTTGGTCTCATTGATATACGATTCAATGAGTTTGGCCATGAAACATACTGGCGGGCGGAGTTGACCTCAAAAGTGCCTCGGTTCTTTCAACTAACGCTTTTGGCCATTTATCTTTTATTTCATTCCATACTGTCTTTGTTAATAACCAACCAAGACCAGGAAAAAAATCACTACGATGTAGAAGATCTTTTAAGAAAAACAAAAAAAAACAATGTGTCAAATGAAAAAAGAAATTTTTTTCTCACTTGCTTGACGATCAATTTTTTTATCAATACCATTATCATTCCATGCTGATATACACCAAACAGTTTTATCATATTTCAATAATGGATAAAGTGCTTGAAAATACTCAAGAAAATCAGGTGAAACTTCTAAATCATCTATAGGAGAAAATAAAACACAAACGATTGAGAATTATTTCAAATTAAATTTCATCAACCTTCAGTAATAATTATAGCTTCATAATTAAGTACATTAAGAATATGATTAAGTGAATAACCATAATGACGTGCTATTCTATAATATCCAAATAACTGCTGCTGGCCTGCAGGAACATCAAGAGGACCAAGGTCCGGTAACTAAATAGAAATCAATCATTATCGTTCGTTGAAGTTTTTTCTTGTTTTATAGCAAAGAAAATTCATACTTCAATAATTGTTTTAATTTTATCACTGAAATTTTTAGCAACTTGAATTGTTGCACTATCTTGACAATCTAAACTGATAATTATTGGATTTAATTCAGTGTTTTTTCGAATTCTAAATAAATAAAATTGATTATTTCCTTGAAAAATATCTTTCATTTATTGTACATACTTAAGCAGCGCTTCAATATGAAGTTGAAGAGCACGTGGCCGATTACAAGCAAAAACAACAATCGGTAATAAAACATCTATTTTCTATATTTCGAACAGAAAAGAAAACCAACATATAAAAACATACACAAAAAGAAAAATTCACCGGTAATAGAGACATTAATGCTGGTGAAATAATATTTGATTGTACTTTTCGACTAATTCCTCTATTGATTGGTAATTCCTCAAAAAAAAAACATCTATCAATACAAAAATTAATTAAAATAAAATTTAGTAACAAACCACTTCATTTTTATTTGTTGATGTACGAAAACCTTTAATACTTAATAATAATATGACATTAATAAGAAAGAAAACACCGGTAGTTATAATAATTTTTGTAATAATTTTCGATCGCATATTTGCATGTCTTCCATTAACCTTGATATTTCATCATCTACAATAATTAGTTTTTTTTTTTTTGTATTTTATTCAAATAAAATCTTTACTCTTTCTCTTTTCTTTTTATTTATTGGTTCTTTCTTTTTTTCGATACTTCAACGTCAAAGAAAAAGAACGTAAATTTCATTTTGTGGAACATAACCTAAAAGAAAATTTGACATATAAAAGTAAAAATTTGTACTCCACCCAGTACAGACGTAACCATGGGAACGTAGCAGATCCCGACAGACAAAATATAGGAACTTACAGACGCCTTAGCAACGTTCCTTCGTGTCACCCAGAGGTTGCTGATATACGATCATCGATCGTATATTGAAAGCGTCTCATAACAATAGATGAACTACTTTCTCATTGCATAATCTGAAGCATTTAATAAAAGTATAGTGAAGAAACATGTCTTAAAATCGATAGAATACAATGAGTCTACCTGTGATTAGCACGAGCGGCTACATTGTGCTTAACATTTTAATCCTGCAGGGATTGCAGTATTAGTTTTTTTCTTCTGTCAAAAGCTTATCGAGTTCTCTGCACGCTTTGATAATTTTTTAATAACAGTAAAAAAAAATAAGAATTCAGTCCAGAGGCAAACAATGCCATGTTGTTGCTGGCTTCTTTTTTATTAACCAATCAAAACAAAAACACAACAAAACAAGAACACAATTAAACATTAACACGAACTTTTTTTTTACTTCTTCCACCACTTTTTATTTTTCGTTCTTCACTATCATCAATTAATGTTGGAACATCATCATCATTGTTATTTTGTGTTGCAGCTTGTTTAACAGCAGCTAATAGACGTTTTCGTTTTTCAGCTTTTGGTGCTGGTTTACTAGCATAATTTTGTTCAATATGTTTTGGTTTTTCATTTTTTTTGGCAAGTTTAGTATCAGCAACACGTTTAACAAATGCAGTATCAACTAAAGGTTTATTATCAGTATTAAAAACTGGTAAATCTTCACCTTTTTTAGTTTTCTTTTCTTTTTTTGGTTTAGTTTTTGTTGAACGTTGTTGTTGTATACCTTTTATCCAAGTTTTTTGTAAACGTTTTGTTGGTTTTTTCTTTTTAATATTATTATTATTTAATTTAGTTCTTTTTGTTAAATTTATTTTTCCATTTGGTCCTACAATAACATTAAGATTTTTTTCTAATGTTGATAATTCACCTATTTGTGTTAATTCATTTTGATTATTGAATGGAAGATTTAATTTTTCAACATCATTTTTATTATGTGTACTATAATAAATTGGTAATGATTGTAAATTATTTCCATATAAATAAGCATGATTAACATTTAACCAACCACCAGGCAATTCTTTGCCAATAGTTTGACAAATTGTTTTAAGATTTTCAATTCCATGATCAATAGATTGTTTAACAGTTGTAAAATACATAGAAAAAAGTGGTCCTGTACCAGCCATACGACCATATGTTGATAAACATAATGATAATAAACGTTGTTTAAAATCTTTATTGAAAACATTAATACCTAATGGCATTTTTCCATGATAACGAAAATGTTTACCAAGTAATTGACCACGCATTAATGATGTCATTATACGTCGATCAGCAAGAAAAAGATCATAACGTGAACATAATTTTCGTTTAGCTTCATATGGAACTAATTCCTAAACGTGAAAATAAATTATATAATTATTTCAAAAGATTTTTGTCGGATATGGTGGCCTATCTTGAATCAGGTTACCATATATATGATTTTGTGAAGAAATTTGCAATGCATCGATTGATATGTAAGTGATATCCTGAAGTTCATATACTGCTTACAATCTTTGAGAGCTATATATGTAGTATTCATAAACATTGTGATTCCTAGCATAAATTTATGCAAATCTTGTTTTTAAACTCAATTCGATACAGTTATAACTGCTCTATAACAGTTTTCGTTACTGCTTTCCTCATATTTAAAAATGGTCCCATTTCTTAGTTCTAGATTATTTCTTGATTATATGATATTCCAGTGTGTTCAACTATATGCCAAAAGAACTTCTTGCCGTTTATAAGGAAATTATTTATATCAATTCATTAGGAATGCTATGCTGATTATTGACGCATAAAAGTTTTTTATTGGACTGTTGAATATTGTTAATATACCAACCCTTGCATATAGGAAAATAGGTCATTTTATGGATCAATCTTGCAAGTTGACAATGATTCCCTCTTGTTCCGAAAGATATTATGCAATTTTTGAGAAAGCTTCACATCGATATTCACTTGTTCTGTGGTACACAGTTGAACACAATGAAATATCATAAAGGCAACAAATAACAAGACCTAAGAAAAGAGACCATTTTTAAATTATGAAGGAAGCATTTATAACTGTATCGAATTGAGTTTAAAAACAAGATTTACATAAGTTTATCATAGGAACTATAATATTTATGAGTACCATATATATAATTCTCAAGGATTGTAACCAGTATATGAACCTTCAACACATCACTTACATATCAATCGATGCATTGCAAATCTCTCTACAAATCCACATATATGGTATCATGGTTCAAGGTAGGGCATCAAACTTGGCGAAGTTGTTTTCATTTGTTTTACTTGATTAAGTTGTTTAAGTGTCATGATGTCGACATTGAATGGAAGTCTAAACTGATCAATCATTGATTTATAACGACGTATTGTTGATTCATATTCTCGACCATTAATATCATCATCACGTACAAAAAGACACACATCACGTGTATTTTGTTGTATAAATGGATGAGGTAATTGAGATGAAAGACGAAGATAAGTACATCGAGGTATTTTATGTACGTGAAGATAAAGACTTATTGGTGTTGATTCATCTAATAATTGTTTATGACCTTGTTGAGCATTATTAATAATTTGTTTAAGAGCTATTAATGCTTTTCGACATACATCAAAATCGAATGGACATTCAGATGAATTTTTTTCTTTAGTTGAATTTTCCGGTTTTGTTTCAATAGATTTTGTTTTCATCTTAAAATATACCTAAATAAATATTAAATATTAAATATGTATATATATATATGTAAAAGTGTTTTGATAATTCATGTAGAAATAGTTCGAATGAATGAATGAAATGAAAAGAAGAATTCAAAAGGTTGATCAATATCACCAATGTAAAGAAATCTACGTTGGCCTTCACATAGAGAAAAAAATATTGGTTGATTGAAAGCGACATCTACTTGACACACTGACATTTTAGATTTCCTAGAGCAAGAATTGCCACCTTCTCAAGTAAAAAAAGAAATAACAATGCAAAAAACTATTTTTGTAGATTCTTCGCATTTCTATGGGCTTAAATAATTGCTTCTTTCCATAGCACTTCTTTATTCTCGAAATTCTAAAACATAATAATTTGTACATAAAGAAGATGGATATTTCATTAAACATATAATTTTTTGAACATAGTTACATTTATTTCAACGAATTTGTGTTTCCATAGCTATTGAATCTACTGATATTCAATCATAGAAATCATCAGACAAATGTATAATGTCGGAAAAAAATCATTTTTGATATTGGTGTTGCTGGCTGAAATAAAACATAATTTAGGCAATAATAAATTGAAGACAATAGCTATCTCAGTTTACTTAATATCAATAGATGTTATCATCTCAAATTTTTCCATAAACAAATAAACCAAAGTTTCTCACACGAAAAAAGCGGAAGAGGTGACAATCGTCTTTAGAATATAGATTTATTCAGTAAGAAATAATATTTTACATAGGACACTAGAAATGTTTTTATGCCTAGTTCACCTAAAAGCCATACATCGTTGTAATTCTTCATTTCTTTTAGAATTGTCATAGATCATTTTCAATATAAATTTTGAACTGTTACAAGAACAGTTTCGAACAATGATTTTATACGACTGAAAAATTGGCTTGACATACAATGAAAGTCGTGTTCATTTAGCGTAGGCATAGGGGATCAAGCACCTTCAGATCGTACAGTTCTCAATTGGTTTCATCAATTTCGACGTGACAATTCGAGTATTGAAGATAGTGCCTTTTCAGATCATTCTTCAACTGCTGTCAACAAAGAAACAATTGATTCAACATACGAACAGAGAGAAGACATTCTAGGCATTATCTTGTCATCGATCAATTCAATAATTCATGACCATTTGAAGTTGTGCAAAGTTTGTGTGCGATAGACGCTCTTTCCGTCGTGTATCCGATATTATTACCTGGTTCTGTCATTATGATCGGAAAACAAAAGAGCAGTCAAAATTATGAGTGTCAGAAAGCGATTCGTGTCCAACTATAGTTGATCGAAACAAAAGTAGAGGCAAATGACTGGTGGCTATTTTCTTCATGAAGTCTGGTTTAATGAAATCTATACGATTAATACCTTATGAGACAATAAATGCAAGTTGGTACGTCAACAGTTGCCTACTACGAGTCTTCTAACCTATATCAGAATGGAGACAAAAAATTGAGCTTTGAGGTCTCGTTTTCCATGACAGCAATGCAAGATAACGTAGAGTCTGGATTATTAACGAATCTTCGATCAAAAATCATGTAAAATCATACCAAAACTCATGGTATTCCCCAGATCTAAATTCGTGCAATTTCTTCTTGTTCCCTAAACTAAAAAGAAAAATCAACTATGTGGAATTAGGTTTGATAATGATAAAAACACAATGTTGAATGCATTAGAACAAGTCATTGAGTCTCATAAAAGGCGATTTCAAAAACTGCTTCGCTTATTGGTTTATTCGAATGTACAAATACATTGATGCTGAGAGACAGTGCTTTGAAAAAATACACTAGAACTAGCTTATGAACATTTGTCTAGAGAGCTGGCGAAAAAACTTTTCTAGTACTCCATCTATAATTCTTAAGTTTTCTTATTATCCTTTTTTAGTTAATCGAGTAGTCTTACGATTTTTTAAATACTTTTTAATCGGTTTAATAAGAAATGTACGTGAGGAATCGTTGAGAATCAATGTGACTTGCTATCACAGTAGTATTGATACTAATTTAACATTGGAATATCTTCATAACTAACGTATAATGTTTAACGTCAGGTGTTGATGTTTGAGTGAGGTTTTTTTGGAACTAACAGTTTAGCATAGTTCAAATCAATAAAAAATTCTTAATACAATATCTTTATTTATCATGATTAACTTTAAATGTTATCATCCCAATTATTTTCTATGAATCGCATGATATTTTCATAAGACAACACATGAAGAAAAAAAAATCATATAGTAAAATATTATCTCTTCCCAAGACGACGAGAATACGAAATCAGTATACATTCAGAAACGATCGTATTTTAGTATATTATATAGCTGAGTTTTTGTGGCCATATTTCTTCGTATCGTATAGAGAGAAATATGACCATTTGCGGCAAGGTACTAAGTAAAACGGAAGTCCTATATGGACTTCGTATACGATCGAATTTCTTCATGTGATACGAAGAAATACGATCGTAATACTGAGCTATGTAATATGTCAATATACGACGAGTTACGGTCGTTTACGAGCTTGCTTTTTTGACCTAGATTTGCTTGAAGATCATATGAAAAATGTAACATAGATCTACGACATCAGATATCGGAATACGAATTTCACAAACTACATTCACCTTATAGTTTTAGTCTCATTAACACTTATTGATAACAAAAATATAGAATCAAATGATTTCTTACAATTAGATACTATAAATTTGTATAGAAAAAGAAATGACATTCTGAAGTGTTAATCTATAATTTGAATAAACTTTTTTATGTCTGATTAAATAAGATTTGATTTATTGTTTATTGAAAAAAAATAAAATAAAACTTCGTATTCCACTTGAAATTTGAGTAATTATGAAAATGAATATAGTCATCGTAAGAAAAGAACACAATCAAATTTCAATTCTTCGATATTTCAATAATCAAATCGATTAAACAGCCATCGTTACCACCTGCCAATTGATTCACAATTCAACAATGATTGTTGTTGTTTGACTGATAGTGATAGTCAAATGATCATATTCACTTTCTCTTTTGTCAGTTACATCTCTATCTATTTATCTTAAATTGATTGTTTATAAAATGAGCTTAACAGATATGCTAGTTTCAATCTCTTGAGAACGATCATCATCATTATTGATTTAAAAAACAAATGAAGAAAGAAATTATTCTCTATTAATTTATATACAAGACAAATGATCTACTTCATTTAATAATATTGATAGAATTTAATTATAGTTAAATAACATATATGTATAATACACATGCTTTCGATCATGCTGTGTAATTGATGAGAATGATCGGATAAATCATTAAAAAATATCGATGTCTACATATATATCTTCATGTATTTGATTACGTTTATATATATTCAACACTCTGTCTATGTCTGCAATGTTGATGAGGGACAGAGAGCATATACATATATACACAAGTGTTGTTGTTGTTATATGTACTATATATATATATATATATATATATATAAATATAATAAAGCCTCGATAATGAAGCAATTATGGTCAGTTCTTTTTTTTTCTGACTTTTGCTCTTTTTTCTTTCCATCTCATACAGATAATTCTTGTATTAATCGGACAGACACGATAGTTAAGATTTCTTATTCTTATTCTTTTTTCTTCTCATACTTTCTTATATTCCCAATTCGTATCCGATTGGCCTTATCCTTGCAGTATATATGTTATCAGAAACACGCACTAGCATACAGGGTGGAGAAGAAAGACGAATGATATCTAGCAGTGTATCATGCAAAGCAAAGCTAATGTCGATCATCACACATATATTCAACAAACGTTTTCTTTTTTTCTTCTCTTCTATAGAAAGACAGAAGATAATACTGTCAAAGAACAAATTCGATTACTTGATTGCTAGTTATATACTAGTCAATATTATCACAAGAGAATGGCATTTGACTTATGTGTATAATACCAACAAGGTGCTATTCGATATACTCTTGAATGTTAATCGGTGTCGCCGCTGTTTTCACAAATTCTTGTCAAACATGACACTCGTCATCAGTTTTTTTTTCTGTTTGTTTGTTTCTATTTCTTTATATCCGTGTCATTATACGACCAATGAATTAACTGTATAGAAAAAAAAAAAAAAAGAAAAATTGAAGAAGAACAAAAAAAAAATGAAAAAAAGAAAAAGACAACAGAAAAAGAAAAACGTACAGACGTAAACAAAATGACGACAAATAATATATATATATATATGTATCAGTTTTATTCCATATAAATAGGTCAAGTAAATTTTCGAGCATTAGCATAAAGTGATGCAGCATAAAGTGGTGATATAAGTGGATAAGGATTTGTTGCTGAAGAATTTGTTGATGATGAACCACCGACTTGTTGTTGTTGTTGTGAATTATAAAATGAAGCAGCACAAGCAACATAAGCTGCAGCTGCAGCTGAATGCATTCCTACAGATGATGAACCAACTGACGTTGGTATTGTTGGTGAATTAACATCAAGACCAGGATTTTGTTTTTTCCATTTTGTTCGTCGATTTTGAAACCTTTGTTTTTTTTATTAAATTAGAAAAGAGATAATTTTTTTTTTGTTTTTGTAAAATAAAAAAATCATACCAAATTTTAACTTGTGTTTCTGTTAATGATAATGATAATGCAAGATTAAGTCGTTCGCAAACTGATAAATATCTTGTTTGTTTAAATTTATTTTCTAATGCAACCAATTGTTCATATGTAAATGCTGTTCGTGCTCGACGTGGTTTTGATGGTTTATCAGCTGTTGAACTTGTTGATGATTTTGATTTGTCACCATCACTTATTGATGCATTTAAATCATCATCATGTATTTTATCATCAGCTTCTGATAAACACCCATCTATACAAAAACAAAATATTTTTTTTTAAGAATTAATATTCCTAAAAAACCAAAACTAAACAATAGTTTGACTTACCAGATACATCACAATCACTTATTGAACCATGATGTTCATCATCATAATCATCATCATTATCTGAATGTGA